AAAAGGTGTAAGTAATATAGTCAAAGTCTAAATCCTTCATCTTTTCTATTTTGGAGCTCATATGGCTTTTGAGGCCCTGAGTCCAAGACAAAAATTAAAACTTGACAACAATAATAATAATAATAATAATAATAATAATAATAATAATAATAATAAAATAAATAAATAAATAAATAATAATAATAATAATAAGTAATTATGATTATTGTGTAATAATAATATATATGTAATAGAAACAAAAATATCTTGGTTTGGTTCAAAATCATTTGGTTGACGGGTCCATGTGGCACCAAATCGACGGTTTTTAAAATGTGGTTTCGGTTCGATTTTTGGGTTTGACGGTTTTTGCTTACAGTCTTAATTCAAGTCTGTACTAAGCTGGATCCTTTTATCATCTATGTACTATTTGTTTGTTGGTTCGTTTTTGTTTTATGTCGTCGTCGTCGTCGTCTTCTTTGTCTTTATATAAGCTTTTTGTTGGGGGTAAGCTATTGGAGTATTGGGCATGCCATACGTAAATTAAAGAAAAATTATGGTTTTGTTTTGTTTTTTGTTTTTGTTTTTGTTTTTTTTTTAAGACTACGCCCATTTGGTTTAGCTATAAATCAGATTTTTAGTATACTTTGATAAAAGTTGTTCAAATATATTGTTGAAAGATTGATAAAAAATGTGGGTTACATTAAATTTGTACTTAGAATTAAATTTGATGAACAATGAGTTAGTAAACGTGGCCAAACGGAGGCTATATAATAGCAATATAGACATTTACAATTAACTTTTATAGAACTAAGTCTCTGTTTGACCTTAATTTTTTAACATTTTTTTTAATTATTTTCAATTACACATTCTATGAGATTTACAACTTTTACTAGTTTTTAATTGTTTATTTAATTAATATTTATAAAAAATTATAAAGAGTTGATTTTATAGCGAAATCAAACAGGCTAAATAACTATTTATACAACTCATTGACAAATTTGAGTAATAGCTTGGAGACTTTCACACAATCAATGATACAAGTGCAATTGATTTCAAAGTTAAAAATTGAGTAATAATTATTGCTTTTTGAACAATACATTTAGGTGGATTTAGCCATCAGTAATCATGCTTTAGACCAATTTTAGCTTTTAAGCAAATACATAATTATAAACGTGTGACATGGGAAACAAATGTACATAGCGTCAAATTAATTATGAGGCTTGTGTTTGTTGAGGGCGTGCATCCTCGTAATACAATTTATTTTCTCTTTTACAACTTAATTTAGTACATGTTTGGTACATGATTAGATTAAAATTTTAAGTGATTATAAGTTTTATAAAATGCGGAGATAATTCTCTCTCTCTCTCCCTCTCTCCCGTGTTGTAGTGAAATTCAGTTCACGCAGTCAAATTGCTCGTCAACTTGGTTCGCTCCACGCACGAGTTGAGTAAAATTTTATCTTACAAGCCATTCATTGATTTGCATCCACTTGTTTGAGAGTCAGAAAATAAATAAAACTTAAAGAATTTGAAACTTTCAGGGTAAAAATTAAAAAAATGAACCAGTCAACTCTGACTCGTTCACCTAAGAGCGAGATAATGGGGAGAACCGAGCTTAGGTTTTTAAGCAATCCAACTTGTGCTCGGTTGGCTCCATTTGTGAGCATGAGTAGAATTCAACGGTGAATAAACTGTACGTTTCAACTCAATCCATTTAATACCTACCTATGCATGCAAGGGCAAGGTTGTCAAAACATGCTTGAAGTTAGGGCTGCATGAAAAAAATCGCGAAACAGCAAACCGAATCGAAACTATTGATCTGGGTCCACGTGAACTTGTTGTTTTTTTCCCTCAAATCGAACCGAACCGTTTTAAAATGGTTTGGTTTAGGTTTTGATTTTCAAAAAACCGCACGAAATCGAACTGAGCCGTTTTAAAATTTTTTAATTAAAACATTAATTTTGTTAATGTAAAAATTTTACAGTTTTCACTTTTTAGAAAAATAACAATTCAGCAATACAAATTACAACCAGCCTATTGAAATAATCATAAAAGATAAATTCGGTTCATCATTATTGGCCTATGGTTTAACAAGTTCATCATACATGTCTTTACCCAATATCTAAACTAAACTAAAATAATTCAAAATCATATGAAATGAAAAAAAAAAAAAAACATATATTTTCAACAATCCAAATCATAATTCAGCAAATCACATTCAAAGTTTCAGAGGCCCTAACATAAACTCTCATTTCCCTAACATTTGACGGTTGTTTGCCACTGTTGAACAAATCGTCAGTCGTCTTTGCTTGTTAGTCTGCTTATTTCTACTCGAATCGCCTCTTTTTCTCTTCTCTTTCGGCAAATCCCAGATTTTCATTTAATCCATTTTTTCGTTGTTTTATTTATTTATTGTTTTTGAACTTTTTATACAATATTGAATTGTAGTTTAGATAGAAAATAATTGTTTGTGTGCCTAGATAATTAATGAACTTGTTTGTAGTTTGGAAAGAATGAAGGACTAATGTATTAATTGTGCGAAAATGTTAAAGTTCCTTAATTAGTATTACTACCTTCTACTTTCATAAAATAATTAGAAAATGAAATTCGTCAATTCTTAATAAGTCGAAACTTTATCAATCTTTGTACATCTAAATATATCACATTCAATCATTATTTAACATCTCACTAGCAAGATGAAAGGAGTTTTAACCAAACTATAGTAGAATAATGTAACTCTACTTTTACCAACCGCTATATAACAATATGAATGCCAAACAATAAAAGGTAAATGAAAATGAAGAAAGTTACATTTGTTCTATTAACATCTTTTAACAACCAACTTCGAAAATAATTTATTCATGGATTTTATGGTAAATATGAATGTAATTTAATATTTAATATTATTAATTCTCGTTTTAACTTATATGTTAACTTATATTAAATATATTACTATAATGTCGATAGGTAAACTGTGGATTAAAATCGAACCAAACCGTAAATTATTGTTTGGTTCGAAAAATAAAATGGTTTGATTTGATTTGAAAAAATTCAAATCGTATAAAATGGTTTGAATTGAAAATATAGCACAAACCGCCAAAATCGATCTGCGTTCACCCCTAATTAAAGTCATTTAGAAAAGGGTAATTATGTCCCCACAATAT